TAGAGGGTAAGATAAGTAAATTTGCCGACGACACCAAGATAGGTTTTACCATAAGGGGGGAGGCGGATAGGGCTCGAGCCGAGCGAGATTTAAGTCTTTTGGACGAGTGGAGCAAGAAATGGCTCATGAGGTTTAATAAAAGTAAGTGTAAAGTTCTCCACGTCGGTCGAAGAAACGGTAGGTCTCTCGACACGTTCGGCGATGTTAAATTGTATGAGGCAAATGGAGAGAGAGATTTAAATTTAGGAGTTTCTATCGATGAGGACCTCGAATTTTCCTCGCACGCGCAAGCGACGGTGGCCAAATGCAACAGGATTCTAGGTTACATTCGTCGGTCGGTTGCAAGTAGGGCATCTCGCGTTATTCTTCCGTTGTATGCGGCGCTGATAAGACCCCAGTTGGAATATTGCATCCAGTTTTGGAGGCCTACAAATAAGGGCGATTTGTTGGCGCTCGAGGGAGTACAGAGGAGGGCCACAAGAATGATTAAAGAGGTTAGGGGAATATCATACGAGAAGCGTTTAGAAGTGTTGGGACTGTACTCGCTCGAACGAAGGTTAAGGAGGGGCGATCTCATCCAGGCTTTCAAGATAATTAAAGGAATAGATAATGTCGAGTGTGGTAGGTTTTTCCAGTTTTGATGGCAGCAAGAGAACGAGAGGTAACCGACTTAAGTTGCGCAAACCGCAGGTGCGGCTCAGGTCGAGACAGGAATTCTTTACTTGCAGAGTGGTGAACGTGTGGAATGCGTTAGATGACGAAGTAGTGGTTGCCCCTTCTGTGACTATCTTTAAGAAGAAACTGGACGCTTTCATGGACAGGCAAAAAGGTGGGGGGCAATGTTGACGCTAGGTACAGTAAGCAACTAGGATAGTCAAAAAACAAGAAAAACAAAAACAAAACAAAAATACAAAAATATATAGCTTTAAGAGGGTTAGGCCTACCCTAAAGTTAAGGAACGCTCTACCTCGACACGTGATATAGAAATGGCCGAAATCGCCTCTTGATATCAATCTTGAATCTTGAATAATTATCCCCACAATCTTGGGAGATACAAAAAAGACAGGGAAAGCAAGTAGAATCATACCAGGGATGCCAGAGACATGGGAAGAAAATCTAGATTTCTCATTCTGCATTTGACAGTCTTGTTCCATGAAAATAAGAAAACACTCAGAATAATGAGAAGCATGAAGAAACTATTATTGAAGGAATTATGTGCATTCCTTGCAAGCACTAGCAATTTGAGAGTGGATTGGCATATTCCCTGCAGGCTTGTGTTGCTATTCACAACTCTCATTGGCAAAGATTTGCTCATGCATGGCAGTGTTGAACACAGACTGACCCGAAAGCCTTGGATCTAGCAACCCTGTCTTCCCATGACCCCTTCCACACTGGCACACTTAATCAGGTGTCATCACCTGGTGAGAAGCTCATTATAGCCTTTTATTCTATCAGATTATTCCATTGTCTTCCCTTTGTGGAGATAACGCACTGGATGAAGATATTTAAGTACAGCATGGAAATTTCATTTCTGAAGACAGATCTGTTCTTGATGAAAAGGAATGCAAGGTAAAGGAGTAGCTGTCAGTAGGGATGGGTTATTGACCAGTCAATTAAAAACATGTCAATTGACTGTTCAATTGACCAGTCAATATGGTCAACTATGGTCAATTTTGGTAAATAGGACCAAATTTGATTTATTTTTATATTTTTTTCTTTGTAGTTTTTGCACCATTATGTACTTAGATCTTGAACCTTAACTTTGAAAGTCCTTGAGGCTATAAAACTTTGTGCAGCAGGCTATGCCTGCACACACACTCTGCATCACTCAGGTGAAAGGTCATGGTAGTTTTTCAGCATTTGCTAAAATGTTTTCATCCGCAACAGGTGCCACAGTCTAGGTGTTTGGCTGGCTGCATGAACAAATCTTAAAAATTGAACTGGCTCTTTGGTTTTAGTGCTGGGGGATAAATGACCACAGTCTATAAAAATATCTATATAAATATACACAGCTCTATAAAAATATCTTAATTCACTGAATTAAGAAAATTAGTGGTCAATAATGGTAAATTAAAAGGTGGTCAATTGACCAGTCAATTGACTGCCCCATCCCTAGCTGTTAGTCATACTATGCTTCATAAAAGTCAGTTCTGTCACTGCACAGCAGCTTTCTCTGTTCTTTCTACACTCTTATGAGCAATCAAGACTTCAGCCCAGTTCATTCTTAAGTGCAATAGCAAATATTCTGAAATGATGATGTCCTTGATTTTCTTGATTTGGATGGGTAGCACCCAATGACTTGTAGCTATGCAATGCACCAGGCCTGTCAATAAGTTCTTTATGAATTCTTTATGAATTCTTTATGAAAAGTTCTTTATGGCCACATCCACAAATCAAGCACACACAGATTTTATTTTATTATCAATCTTCTATGCAATGACCATCATACTCAATGACACACTCCCAATGATCACACATCATTCTAATACCAGAATCATATAAAGATGATTCTTTGCTGTCAAACCATTTTTGCACAGGTGACTTTAGCTCATTGTTGTCACCTCCCTTTAAGGTCCTTTTCAGATTTGCAAGCAGATAATAGTCAAAGCCGTGTCTGTACTGTCTGCTGGATGATTGAGTTCTTCAAATCCAGACTAACAAATTGCAACATGCACAACACAGGCCTTGTGAATGGGTGCA